CCCCCTGCAGTGGTTTGATCTGCGGTGCCATAACCTCGCAGTACCTGCTGGAGAAGTCCCGCGTGGTGTTCCAGGTGCGTGGTGAGGGGGTCCTGAGCTCTGCCCCCCGCTCTGCCCCCTCTGCCAGCCCCTCCCCAGCTCTGCCCTCTGCTCTCCAGGCCCAGAGCGAGCGCAACTACCACATCTTCTACGAGATGCTGGCAGGGCTGCCGTCCCAGCAGCGGCAGCGCTACTTCCTGCAGGGCGCCGAGACCTACTACTACCTGAACCAGGTACTGTGCCCTCCCTGGTCCCCCCACAGCCTGATTCTGGGGGGCTGGTGGGCTCCTGAGCCCTCAAGGTGGGGATGAGGAGATGCTCAGGGCAGGGTGACCCCCCGTGCTGGGTGCTGACCCACTGATGGACTGAGATGGCTGTGCCAGGGTGGGAACTGTGAGATTCCTGGCAAGGATGACGCTGAGGATTTCCGCCGGCTGCTCAACACCATGGAGGTGCTGAACTTCAGCGTGGATGAGCAGAACAGCATCTTCCGCATCCTCTCCTCCGTCCTGCACCTGGGCAACGTCTACTTTGAGAAATACGAGGTAGCCCAGGATGGGCCAAGCTGTGCTCCTGGGGTGTGATTTGGGATGTGGCAAAGGGGGGATTGCCAATGCCAGGGCATCGCTGTGTCCTGCAGACCGACTGCCAGGAGGTCGCCATGGTGGTGAGCGCCACCGAGATCCGGACGGTGGCTGAGCTGCTGCAGGTGTCCCCTGAGGGGCTGCAGAAAGCCATCACCTTCAAGGTGACGGTGAGTGCAGGGGCACAGCCTGGGAGGGGGTCTCTGGCCCCTGGGGACCACCTGGGCTGATGATGTTGCAACCCCACCGTGCCATTTCCCAACCAGGAAACACAGCGAGAGAAGATTTTTACCCCTCTGACTGTGGAAAGCGCCGTGGATGCCAGGTAGAGGGAAGGGGCACTGCACCCCAGGGATGGCATGGGAAGTGAAATGCCAGCTGGGAAAGGGGATGATCAGGTGGATTAGGTCCTGTGGTGGTTAAAATTGATGCTGTGGTGGGTGCTGGCTGTGGCAGTGGAATACACTGGTGCCATTCCAGAGCTCCAGCACTCTGCTCATCTCTCCCCTTCCCAGGGATGCCATTGCCAAGACCCTCTACTCCCTGCTCTTCGGCTGGCTCACAGATCGCATCAACAAGCTGGTGTACCCGCGGCAAGAGGCCCTGTCCATCGCCATCCTGGACATCTACGGCTTCGAGGTGAGCAGGAGTCATCCCACCTCCATCCTGGCTCAGTCCCAGCCCCATCCTGCCAGGCTCCATGGATCTTCCTTCTCGCAGGACCTCACCTTCAACAGCTTCGAGCAGCTGTGCATCAACTACGCCAACGAGTACCTGCAGTTCTTCTTCAACAGGATTGTGTTCCAGGAGGAGCAGGTGGGGCTGGTGGGCAGTGCTGGGCTCTGCTGTGGGGCTGGGGGCACAGGGCTGACCCGGTGCCCACCCTGCAGGAGGAGTATATCCGGGAGCAGATCGAGTGGAAGGAGATCCCCTTCAGCGACAACCAGCCCTGCATTGACCTCATCTCCCAAAAACCCTACGGCATCCTCCGCATCCTGGATGACCAGAGCTGCTTCCCCCAGGTCAGGGGCTGCCTGGTGGTGAGGTGCAGCCAGCACTGGGAGGTCACTGTGGCTGGGGAATCACCATGGCCCAGGGCTGCTCCTCGCCTGGGCTGTCCTGGACAACCTGGGAAAGCCCTTGGGTTCCTCCAGGCTGGATAAGCCCAAAGAATCATAGAAACATCATGGAATCACAGAATGGTTTGGGTTGGAAAGGACTTTGGAGATCACCTAGCTCCAACCTGCTGCTGAATCTGCTCTGTGTGTCACTGTTGTGTCCCTTCCCAGGCCACTGACCACACGTTCCTCCAGAAGTGTCACTACCACCACGGGACAAACCCTCTCTACACAAAGCCCAAGATGCCACTGCCCGAGTTCACCATCAAGCACTACGCAGGGAAGGTGACCTACCAGGTGTGTGACAGTGGGATGTTAAGGCAGGTTAAAGAGGAGGTTGATTCTGCACCAAGGAGGGAAATGCATCTCTGGGGGTCTGACTGGGATCCTGGAGCTCCTTTCCTCACCCTGTCATCCTGCCAGGCTGCTCACCATGAGGTTTTGCTATTTGCCAGGTTCACAAGTTTCTGGATAAAAACTATGACCAGGTCCGTCAGGACGTGCTGGATCTGTTCCTCAGCAGCAGGACCAAGGTAGGGCCCTGCCTGGTGCTGGCTCTGCAGTGACACTGGCCACCAGCAGCCCCCTTCCATATGTCCCTCTCCATGTCCCCAAGCACGTCCCCAAGGCCAGTGAAGCCCAGAGGGACCAGAAGCAGAGGATGCCTCTGGCTCCACTCATGGGATCCTCTGGGCTTTGACCCCTCAAGCATTGACACAAACAGGCACATGGGCTGCTCCTGTGCTCTGCATTATCCATATCCTCATCCCCATCCCTGTCCAGGCAATCCAGCCACAAATAGGGCTGGGCAAAAAAGGAGCGGCTGTGCTGTGAAGAGGATGTGGGAGAGCTGCACCATCCCGGCCACCTTCCTCCTCTCTGACCTTTCCTGTGTCCCCAAGGTGGTGGCCAACCTGTTCTTCGGGCACGCCCAGGTGCTGGCGCGGCAGAGGAGCCTCATGAGGAGGAGCAGCACCAGGACACGGCGCTACAAGGCTCCCACCGTGGCCGCACGGTTCCAGCAGTCGCTCCTGGAGCTAGTGGAGAGAATGGAGAGGTCAGTGTGGGCAGGGTGGGCAGCCAGGCCATCCTCTGGGCTGTTGGGAGATGGACCTGAGCCCGAGGTGCCTGGGCTGGCTTTGTCCCCTGCTCCCTGTGGCTGACAGAGTCTCTCTGTCACAGATGCAACCCCTTCTTTGTGCGCTGCATCAAACCCAACAACAAGAAGGTGAGAGCTGCTGGTGCCTGTGCTGCCTGCCCCGCTGGCACTGGCAGTGTGTGGGCACAGGGCAGGTGGGGTTTGCCCATGCAGTTGCTGATGCTTCTCCCCATCCCCACCCCAGGAGCCGGGGCTCTTTGAGCCTGACGTGGTCAGGACCCAGCTGCGGTACTCGGGGATCCTGGAGACCATCCGCATCCGCAAGGAGGGCTACCCCGTCCGCATCCCCTTCATCGTCTTCATCGACAGGTGCCCTGTCGGGGGCTGCAGGCTGGGCACTGCCATCCCAGCCAGGGGACACCACAGAGCTTGTGGGTGCTTTGGGGGCAGTGTTTGGGCTGGGGTTCACCCACAGTGGGAGATGGGAACCCCTGGTGTTAATACACAGCTCTGGGAGAAGCTGCATCTCCAGGAGCAGTGTTTGTCACCACAGGGAGGGCCTGTGCTGGTGTCTCGGTGGGGCCCTCTGTGGTGACAGTGTCATGGGCTCACCCAGGTACCGCTGCCTCGTTGATATGTGGTCCAATGTCATTCCCAATGGGCCCAACTGCGTGGAGATGCTGAGGAGCCTGTGCCCCGTTAACCCCAGCATGTACTACGTCGGTGTCACCAAGGTGCTGTCCCGCGAGGGGGTTTGGCTCTGGGGCTGCCCTGGGGGTGGTGGCCACGGCGGGGAGCTCACAGCCTCGCCCCTGCTCCCAGCTCTTCCTGAAGGAGCAGCTGTACCAGGCTCTGGAGAGCAAGCGGTGCCGTGCCCATCACCTGGCTGCGCTCACGCTCCAGCGCTACGCCCGCACCTTCTTCATCAAGCGGCGCTTCCGCTCCCTGCGCCGCAAGATCGTGCTCCTG